TTCCTTAGATAAATCTACTAAATACCAACAATGCTATCTCTAGTAATGCCTCCCTACCCCTATAAGTCCCCCAAAGCTGGACCCCTGGAAGTGGTCCCCCAAAGCTGGACCCCTGGAAGTCTTACCACACGCTGTAATATAATGGATCTGCTGCCACACCCCAAAGGAACAAAGTCCTCTGGTGACGACTCACACCCAGGAGCAATTTCCCTAAGAAGAGAAATGATGGGGAAAAAAATCTTACTGTGATGCAGTAACTTAGAATTAAACCACCAGGGAAACATATCAGATTTGCCAACCTGGACAGACTGGCACAAAACACAGCTTGTTACTCCACGTGCTTCTGCGTGGTATTTGGGCAGCTGACTTCATCGAAGGCAATAAGAACGGCCTGGATCCACACTTTAAAGGAGGAGATAATCAAGACCTTTCCTGTTCTTATTGAAGCATGTCTTATGAGCAGAGGAAAAAGACTAATTAAATCTTCTTAGGACTCATTCAATTATGGACTCACAGGGTCTCTCTCACCTCTGTCTCCATACCCTAATCTTATCAGCCAGCTGTATCCATCAGTCTTTAATTTGGTAGCCTGAATATATTAACCAAAAAACAGCAACATAAAAGAAAAACCAATAAGGAATATTTTGATTTTTAGCCACAAATATTCTTTTAAAGATGTCCATCAGGGGCTTGGAAGGATGGCTGAATTGTTAAGAGGGGTGATGCTCTCTCGGAGGACCAGAGTTTGGTTCCAGCACCCATGCTGGCAACTCACAACTGCCTGTTTCTCCAGCTCCAGGATTCTGACACCATCTTTTGATCTCCGTGAGCACTACAGAGACATGCACAGTCCCACATACATGTATGAAAAATAAAAATAAATAAATAAATAAATAGGAGGATATGACTGCTCCAAGAAATAGAGGAGAAGAAGGTTCCTTGCAGATATGAGGGAAAGCATAGTCAGAGGCAGAGACATCTGAGAGAGCCCAGAGTGAACACGACCCTGAGCCAGTCCATGGAGGAAGAGGAGATGGGGAGAGGAGAAGGGAGAACCAGGAGGGTAAAGGGTAGAGGAGAGAAAGCAGGGTAACAGAAATGGCTGCATTATTTAGGAAGGGCAGCTGGGGGGGTGGGGGGGGGTAGCCCGGCCCTGGGGCGGGAGAAGTTTAGAGGAATAGGTCATACCCAACAACAGGTAGGGACTGAGTGATGCTGGGAGAGTCTGGTGGCCAGGTCTGCTTTGATATGTTAAATAGGCATCTCAGTTGGCTATTTGTCCCAGGTTTGAGACCTAACAATATACACATAATTACAAATAAAGTCCTTTTAAAATTGTCATTAAAATTATAAAAGGATCTGGAGAGATGGCTCAGCAGTTAAAAGTATTTATGATCTTGCAAAGGACTGGGTTCAATTCTCAGCACTCACATGCTGGTTTATAGCCATATATAACTCCAGTTCCTGGGTATCCCACACCTCCTGAACTCTGCAGCAACCAAGGCACACAGGTGGGACACAGACCAACACGCAAAGCAAAACACTCACATTAAACCTTTAAAAATCCTTATGAAAGTTTGATTAGAGGTGATAAAATTGCAGGCAATCTTCCTTTCTACTGATCCATAACTCCACCTAAGTTTTCACTTCAAAAGCCAAAAGTTCTTTTAGAAGACGCTTTTTAAAAACAATCTGGGGCTGGTGAGATGGCTTAGCAGTTAAGAGCACTGACTGCTCTTCCAGAGGTCCTGAGTTCAAATCCCAGCAACCATATGGTGGCTCACAACCATCTGAAATGAGATCTGATACCCTCTCATGGGGTGTCTGAAGACAGCTACCGTGTACTTACATATAATGAATGAATGGACCTTTGGGCTGGAGCGAGCGGGGCTGGAGCCAATAGGGAGAAGGGAAGGGGAAAATAAAACAAAACAATCTGACCTAAGTATAGGAGCATGCGCATGTGCAAGCATGTGAACCTTTGTGTGCACGGAGGTCAGATTCCTCAGAGCCAGATGCCAGGCTTGTTGTATGAGCATTAGTGACACCAGGTAGCTGATGGATTCTATTTCTCTGTTAATTAAGGAATAAAAAGACAGGGAAATGGCTCAGCGTGAAACAAAAACTTATTGGCAAGTTTTACAGACCTCTCAGATTTGAGGGGCTCCAGAGCTGAAAACCATGGGTTCAAGTATCGTCTTGTTAAGTATCGTCTTTTTTACTGATACTCCTATTCTACAGGACTTATGGTGCTTATGTGCCTCTTTTGGTGCAGTGATCTGGTCCCCTGTCTCTGTCTATGAATATCTCCCTTCCAACTTTCTTTCCCTCTGCTTCAGGGGTCCACAGTATCACTGGGATCCAAACTCCTCCCTATGACTGGGGAGCAGACATCTCTCCAGTCCTCTTTTAGAAATTTCTAACTTCTAAATATTCTTGAAAATTCAAAGGGAGATATGTGTGTGTGTGTGTGTGTGTGTGTGTGTGTGTGTGTGATCTGCATGTACTTAAGTGCATACCATATGTGCCTGGTTTTCTCAGAGGCCTGAAGAAAACAACTGAATCTGTTGAGTTGATGTTACAAGTGTTTGTAAACTGCCTGTTGCGGGTGCTGGGACTTGAACTCAGGTCCTCTGAAAGAACATGAAGTACTGAGTCTCCTAAAATTACTTTTTAAAGAATATTTAACCCAAGCATTTACAGAGAATGTGCGTAAAAGCCAAAACATAACAGTATAATCGGCAAGTGAAAGTCAAAATATTTAACTCAGAATTGGAAACGCTCATCTATTCCCTCAAGTTTGTTCTTCATTTGGGGCCCAGAGTTAATGCTGGAACTGATGCAATCTGGATTGGGTGCCAACAAATGTTTTTCAAACCCTCTGTCCCAAAGGGCGGTGCCTCACAAATGACGCTGGTTAAGATTGTCTTGAGAGTTCAGTTCCGTAGCAGGAGCAGCACAGACAAATACACTTGGAAACATCATTTTCCTTTCTAGTAAAAGAACAGTGAAACCTAAATACTTTATCACAATACGCAAGAAGGTTTAATTTCCTATTTGCTCTGCTTCCCTGAGAACCACAGCATATACAGGAAGTTCACGCCCCTGGGGTTTATTTATGGCAGAATGGAGGGAAAATGAAGCTGTGGACTTTGTCAAGGAAGATTGCAAGAGAACAGACCATTAAACTACGATAGCCCCCACCTTCTCTACTGAGCAGCTTATCGATAAAAGGCTAATCATGTGATTACATGAGCTGTGACATCATCCCCAGGACTATAAACAGTTCTCTGGAAGCATTTGACCTATTTATGGGAAGTCAATTTGGAAAGCTGAATCATAAGGCTTAAAAATCTAGAACCTTCACCCTCAAGCAAAGGTTGCCTTGATCCTTCTCACTGTTACATTCCTGTTTTCTTCTGGACAATGTCAATGTTCCAGAGCTATAAAGTCAAGCAACTCTTATCATCCCGTGAGAGGGAACCACCACAAGGCATCTGGAATTAAACAGCCAATAATGTGTGTGTGTGTGTGTGTGTGTGTGTGTGTGTGTGTGTGTGT